AAGCATTTTAAGGACTAATATGCATGCCTTGCTTGGTCGAGGGTCTGGATCTTATATAAACTGCAGCCAATCGAAGCTTTAACGATAAAAGCACCGGGATTGCGATCGATATTAACCATTGTTAGGCCGAGACACTAGATAGATACTTTATTTATCGCCAAAAGTAAGCGGAAAGGATTCAAAGAATTCTAAGGTCTTAGCTAGGAGTTCTCTGCATTAGGGGATTAAGGCGGTAACGTTATTTCGATATACGCGTACCTAGTACAACAACCGTAAAGCGGTAATATGTTAAGCAGACCCATCGACTTTGCGAATATATAAGCACGAGTGTAGGGGGGGGGGGGAGGGGTAGGGGGATAGTCTGTAAGAATACTCTGACATAAACAGGTGCGTACATATTCTAATAAAACGAGTAAAAGGTATATATTCCGATACTCGAAAGTAAAATTATATCGTACTGAAATTCGAGTAATAGGTACTTAGTCGCATTGTCAAAAAACTGCGTGCTTTTAAGCAACGTATAGTCGGTAAAGCGGCTTCTTCGTTACCGATCTTGGTATCGAGGAGATTGGCGATTGCCGTTTAATTCGAGGCGCGATTTCGGCGAGCGATCGTCGCGGCGTTTAATATCCACGAGGGAACACGAGCGATCGGCGTATTAATTTCGCGTAACGGCCGTGAAATAGAATAACGGCCGGCGGAGCTGTGAATAAAATTCATGTCGCGCGTGCAGCAGGCGATACACGGCTTCTATCCGCGTACGCATCTAAATAGGGAGGCGTGTATTCTATCGGCACGTGCACGAGCCGCGTGCACAGGCCGCGGACACGGGAATACAGCCGTGGCGTGTAACGACGTCACCGAGCAGTATCTCTGTTACGCCTGGCTTCCCGTGGACTGTGGCCGCTCACGCATCGCTTAACATAATCCCCCATCCGACCAGGTCTACATAGATTACGAAATGATACCTCTGAAACGCGTACAATTATATCGGTGCGAGATATTTCGACCGTGCGCGCTGTTTCGTGGTTCGAATCCGAATACCCACCGCTTCGCGTGTGCCCGTTCTGGCCCGGAATCTCTGCGACGCGGATAAACGTCGAAAAGCTGTCGGCCTAATTCGTTACTCCGTCCATTGTATTCGGTCGCGATCTGCCTACTCCGGCGATAACTCTACCGAGATGGTCGCAGAGATGGAATTAACGGGAAATTCGCGATGACCGGCGGAATTTCATGTTTTCGAAGGTCGATATTTCGGTAGATATTTTGCAACACTTGGCGGCGAGGATGTAAATGGAGATATCTCGGTTAAATGGTTGGAAGTGGCGGTAATTACGACAGGACAGTAGGGAGAATTATAACGTACCCCGTTCGACTGGTTCGTGGTCCGAATTCGAACGAGTTTATCGCTGGACCGCGGTGAAGCTGCGGCGCAACGCCAGGTGGCGCCACGTTGACGACGCCCGGCCGTGCGAGATAAATCTAAAATGGCGGTCTAATTCGCGACTTCGTTTAAATGCTAATCCTCGAAACAGAGATCGGGTCGTTGAACGTTTCTCGATGCTCGGGCAGCTCTTTCACGGAGTTCTCGAGGAATCCCCTTTATCGCCTCGTACGAGTTTCACCCGCGCGCTTTATCTCTCGTTCTCCTACATTAAACAAGACATCGCCTCCTTCGTTCTCCTTCCTTTCCCTCTTCCGCTTCGTTCTACGCTTTTTTCGCCTCGATGTTTTCCAAGAATCTTTATTCGCGGATCCGGTATTCGCTGCGGATACCACCGCACAGTCGCTAGTATCACCGATAAAAGGGAACTTTTCAATTTCGAGGCTAGCCAACTTTCCAGTTGCCAGACTTTCCGACCGAATGATACTTTATCGAAGCCCTTTTCGCGCGATCGAAACTTTTCATACCGGCTTCCCTGAGCCGCTTGCGTGACCGACGAACGGAGTTATCCGGACCAGACACACACACACACAAACACAAACAGACGTAAACACAGAAATGGTTTCCAACGATTCGCCAGTAGAATTATGCGTCAACCAGCGCAGCGACGCTAATTCCCATCGCCACTCCGTGTTCCCACTTTCCCGTTTTCGTTGCAACGATCGGGCCCGCGCGTTTTCAACCCCGCGGAATAGAGACGTGGTTCGGCTAGGGCTTTCTCTTTTAACGACGTCGTACGATTTCCGGAAACCAACAAACGACAACGGAAACGAATAAGTCGATACGTGCTTCGACCGCAACGCGTACAGGGGACACCCTTCCGGGAGGAAAATTTCCAGCCCTGCGGGATAAAATGATTGTAATTTTCATCGCGGAACGACAGTGTTTAATTATCGAGCCCGATGGAATTGAATTACAAGTAAAACACGACCGGTTATTAATATTTGCGTTTCGTTCCCGGCCGGGTCGCGGAACGTTAGTTCGAATTTGAATACGCGGCCATTTCCTGCGGCCCACCGAATCGATGCTTTTCGATTAACCAACGGCTCTGGCCGACAGTGGTAGACGATTCGTTCGTCAGCCGAGCCGAGAATTGGATTTTCTGTGTCGTTTGATGTCTTTGTGTCTTCTTTCGGTAATTAATTCGGCCGGTGAGCGTATTTTAATTCAGCCGTCTCTCGCAGACGATATCGCGGGACGCAATTACGCGTCACGTGCCGATTACGCGATCGGTAATGGAAAGTTTCTTAATTACAGGGAGCACCATGATTAATACGTTCACCTGGAAATCATAGTAATTTCGGTCTTTGAGAGGGCGTCGGGGGTTTGGCGCGGCGCATGGGAACGCGTGGCCAGTCTCTATGGAATGTTTCATCGGGCCAGTCAATGGCACCTTTATCGCGTTAAAATTAGAAGCGGACTCGTTTCATTTCAATTTCCTCTTTGCGTATCACTCGCGAATCACTCGCGAAAGGGCTATAGATTTTTAACGTATTTTGATCAATCATACGTGCGGCCGGGGCCGCTGTGCACCATGACGCATAACGCGATTCGAAACGTTGGACATCGTTTGGACGAGAATTTTCAACATCGTGCCGCAAAGAAATTAATTTCGGACGATATTTCGTATTAATATTTGCGCGATATTAATGTCGGACAAGCATATTCGCGAAATGAGAAAGAAACAGGGATCGAGGGAAAGGGAGGAAAAAGAGATGCGGGGTGGAAGAAAGGAAATATAGATGGAATACGCGAAAGTTGAAACGAGTCTGGCGGAAAATCAGCGAGTCGCCGGTGGCTCGTGAAATTTTTTGAGAAATGAGAACGAAGTTTCCGCTGTCGAGCAACGATCCAACGAACCGTTTCGATAATTGGATTCTACGGTGGCGACCGTTTTTAAAATATCACGAAAGCCATCGTTACGTCCTCCTGCCAGCCTTCGTGATTTTGCGAGGACGCGACCGCCATTTTTCACGTGCCGAAGCATTAATCAAATTGCCCCTTCTCTCCCTCGAGGGTTGTCTACTCGAATGCTACTTCCTGGCCGCGCTTGAAAAGTCTCCGACCTCGAGATTCCATTCGGAGCCGACATCCCTACGCAAACTACGCACGTATCTCATGTCTTTGGGGACGTTCCTCTCTGTTTCGGGTCGCGCCCTCCATCTTTTCTTCGCGCTCTCTTTCGCCTAACCCCGCCGTATCGTTTCCCGGATAATACGAGAGATTTATCGGTCGGCGTAGCGACGCTTTTCCCCCGCTGAAAAAGCGAAATTAAAACTCGTCGAAGCTGATCGACGCGACGTGTTTCCTCGCGCACACCGGCCGGGATAGAGAACGCTCGTTCCTCGAGGAGGATCCAGAGTTCGGTCTGTTTTGTTCCTCCGTACCGAGTATGTACTCTCATAGGACAGATTTATCATGTTGAGCGTCGGAGAGAAAGGCGCCGGAGCAACGGCGAGTTTGATTGTTTTCGGAATTTATCGCGCTACGTGTTAACCGGAGTATGTGTCTTTCGATGAAAAGACCGAGAGACGCTCTCGAAGAGCTACAGCTATTTGCCCTGTCCCTCCTTAGTCGACCTTTTAGCTTCCGTCTATTTCGCTGCGTTTATCATCCTCCTTGTTTTCCCGATCTGCCATTTTATTCGAAATTTTCCTGCAGCTCTCGAGCTCTCTCGGAAGTTGCAAATTCGATTCGTATTCTTCGTAGGTAGATCACGGAGGAAGGAAGTGTCGTCGTTCTTTCGTGTTTAGGATCTTTCCCCGCGGATACGAGTTTTTGGTAAACAATGCGGGATCGAGAGTTGCATGCCATTTAGTGTCACCGCGAAATGATGTTATGGAATACCCTGCGGTGAAAATTAAGAACCGAAAGACATAGGCGCGTGGCATAAATTCCCTACTAATTACGTTGATTAGCCACAGGATAGCGGTGCAATGTCATACGGTAATAGTGCTTCTGGTACGGTGCACTCTGTTCATACGTCATTACTTCCGACAAATAATTTACCAAGATAATTCACCGGACAATAAATATCTGATGCTAATTAAACCCGTAATCCAGCGGCAGCCGATACATAATTCAATTATCCTAATTAATATTCGATTGCGATTAACAATCCAATTAAAGGTACACAATCGGTTGACAAATAATTTCGTCTGTTTCCGCTAATGCATCCCGCCAACCGTCAATCTAATAACGAACATTAGCCAGAACCATAACCGTCCCGTCCCTTTGATGTAACAGAAGCGGTCAGAGGCTATCTTCACCGCGAAAGGACATGTCTGTCCGAGGAGAAACATAGTGGTAGCCAAACGGACACCGTATCTCCGATCAAAACTCTCTTCCTCGACCAAAGTAATCGCGCGAAGATGAAAACGCACGCCTTAGTCTCTTCACCTTAGTCTCGTTACTTCGCTACGCTCGATACGTTGACAGCGCGTGCATCCAAGGGTGTATCGAAGGGTGTATAGTGGCTCGAGATGCAAAGGTAGACACACGGGTCGCGACACAACGTCCTGGTCGAACACGGGCCACGTTTTCCGCGGTCCATCTCCTAATTCACCGTCTGGGGCATGTACGGGGGCATATAGGGCCCCGTGAGGATATACTGCACTGCCACCACCATCAGCTGCGGGGCGCTCCATCTTATGATGTACGCGCTTCCTGAAACAGAAATGCATTTTCCTCGTTACTCGTAGCCGCCTCGTGCACTCACAGCCGGCTGAGTGCCGTGCTCTATTCGGGGATAAAAAGACGCCGAGTGGATGTGTCTGTTGGCGCGTCTCTTACACGTTGCGGTTATGCATCGCGAGCGAGATGTACGTAAACACACGGCCACGGGAATTTCATTTTGAACACGAAGAGGACTCGGGTATCGCTTTGCTCGTCTACGAATTCGCTTGTTTTTACCGTTCGGTACCCAAGTGGCAAGAATTCCGCTGGAATGTCGACGGCGTATAATTTCCTACGCGTACTACTCTCGTCCTCCCGCGGTCATGGCAATACGAAACGAAATGAAACGAAACGAAAGGGGGTCAGGGAATTATAATTTACCGGCTGCACGAATCGCGAATCCTGTAGATTACGGCTTGTCTGTGGCTTACGCTCGAATCCGGCCCGGTTAATCACGCATCGTGGCCCGCGTGGTAACGTTTCTATTTTCCAAAGCTTATTAACGCGATAATTAGGTGTCAAAATGGAATTCTATTCGGGCCGCTTAAAATCCCGCGCAACGGTGCACGCGGAATCGCGCGGCTGAATTACGATCCGTGACCGGAAAGTATCCAAGGCATTTTCCGCTTGCAGCCATCGCAGGACGACGATCCTTCGAGTCCCGACGTTTTGTCCGACGGAGAAGAAAACGCCTCGACATTTATACCCGGGCAAATTTTCCGCCGCTTGTGGAGCTTCAGCCATCCGTGGAAGTTTCACGGCTCGCTTAGAATTTAAATTAACATTTAAGGTAGCACATTTCCGAAATACTCGCAGCGCGCCGGCATCATACGCGGCCAAGATTCGCCGGCGAGAACTCGTCTGAGCGAGAGGAGAGCGAAGAGTTTCGAGCGGAAGGAACTTTTCGTCTAAAGTCCCACGGGTGTTTCCCTCGCGCTATCTCTGATCTAAGCTCGCTCGAGCAACGGGCCAAGATCTCGTTGGTTTTCCAATAAATACACCCCGGCTCGATGTATCGACGAGAACGTACCTTCTATCGCGGATGCTGCACCTAAATTCTGTTGTGTCGAAGATGTCGATCTTAAATAAAATTCTACTACGCTTCCGTTCGCGTTTCGAGTGATCGATACGAGTCGAGCTCGCGGAGAGAGTATACCGGATATTCGAATTCGCGGAAAGCCTTTGAAAAAATTGCCACTTCGTGAAAATCGAGACGGTCTCGTCGAAGGGTGCCGAAATCGAAATCGCCGAGAGAAACCCCTGCGTTCCGTGTCATTTTCGCGAATTACCTGTCAGAGAGACAGCGAGTGTCTGTCATTCTTGTTTATACGCGTGTGTCATCAGGCGTTTCCGCCGCGACCAACTCGTTTCTACCTTACACGACTGTAGACGTCTAGCTAGAGCCAATTTCTCGCGTTCGATTCAACATGGCGGGTCTCGCGACGTTTAAACTGCCCCTTCGATAAACGGGGACCATACCCGAGCGCGATATTGCCGGGCCGGCGTGAAAAAATGCCGGACGAGCAGGGGGAGGGACGAATTAAGTGCCAGCAACTCGTGAAACGTAATTTATCGCGTCTCGACTATTTATCTCGGGCTCGCTCGAATGGAGCAAATAGAGTTATAAATAATCCGGAGATTCGGCGGATCGAATGGGAGTGCGGGGGGAGGAGGAGGAAATATATCGGGTAAATAACGTGGAATCGTTGGATTCATCGAGCGCTGTGGAACCGCGATGCGGGGCTTCTTGATCGCGGGCGAAATTACAAATCGAGTCGCGTATCGGTTATCGGCCGATGAAAAATTTCAAATTGGATGCCGATCGGAACGACAGCGCGGCACCCTTTCGCGCAAAAAGCCCACCCTTCCCTGCGCGCCACCCCGCATCGCCGTTAAGATTTTTATTTACATCCCGGCGCTGATTTATCGTCGATCTGCATCGCGTTTCCCGCGGCGTGGCCGGCCTGTATTCTTCCGCGTCGCGACGCGAATCTAACTGGAAGTTTTGCGTCTGGAAATATATCGGTCGTTCCATCGTCGAGCGGACTAGATCGGTGAAAAAGCGATGGGCGGGGGGCGGAGACAGCGCGGCGGAGGCGGACGCGTGGAAAGGAACACACGCGAGAAGGGAACAAAGAAACGGGACAAATAGACGAAACGAAAAGCACAAAGAGGCGAAATGAGAAAAGCATCGAGTTCGGGCTGGGAAATAAAAGGGAGCAGGGGGGCGGAAGGGACAAGGGTGAAACGCTGGCGGAGAAATGGATAGAGAAGGGTAGAAAAAGAGAGGAGTAAACAGGGGAGAGGATACGGGGTGGAGAGGAGAGGGAAAGAAAAAGGGAAGAGGAGTCCAGGCTGCGTTCTTATCGCGAACGCGGACCGACGTAACGGATTACTCGCTATCGCGACCAATATGTCAGCCGGTAAGAAGGACGAGGAGTCAAGCATTATATCGCGAAATAAAATGGCCCGTGGCGGGTGGCCATGGTCTGGCTACGTTTTGAAATATCGTCGACCACTGGACTGTAACGTAGATATAGGTATTATTATTGACACTTTGCTCCTGACAGAATTATGTATTTTTCATAGCGTATGTCGGACAGCGTCGTTCGCGAATGCAAAGTAACAAGCTTGCCGACGACCAGCCGAGACTACCATCACGACGACGACGACGACGTAAACTCGATGCACCGCGCTGAGATAGAGAGACGACGTTGCCCGGCAGGTTCACGCTAAATCGGAAAACGCCACCGTGAATTTTAATGTCGAGCCTCGATATCGACAGCCGCCGGTACGAACACCGTCTCCTTTCCGATCCAACCACGAGATCGCTCGTGTTTATCACCGCGATTGCTTTCCGATCTCTAATTCTTTATTACTCTTTATTTCTCTATTCCTTTTATTTTATCAATCCGATCAGTTACGGTACTCTGGGTCAACGATGACCAGCATGACACCATCGAGGAAAGAAATTCTTAATCGTTAATCTGTCCCTGCTTTCTATCTAGAGCTCTATCCAAGTTTCCAAGTAAATATATCTTTTACGATTTCTTTTGTTTCCCCCGACACGATACGATAGTTATACTTTCTATTCGCCTCGAATAATATCCGTTTCGATTTCTCTCGTTTCGCGTGACGTCGGTGCTCGAGAGATGTTTGAAATCCTCTTATTCGAGTGGCAACTTTGTTCTCGCTTCGAGCCTCGAGAGGACTTGGTCCACTTTCTCCGAGGAGCGTTAACCTTTGCAAAATTCCACGGTGTAAAGCGACGCCTTTGGCGACCGGATGATCGATACGGTTTTCGCATCGCGGTAATCGAACCGATCCAAAAGAGCTTTCGATATTTTCCTCCGCGATACGCATATACGTTCCGATATTGATATTTCATACGCGTTATCCTTTATTCGCTCTCATGGCGACGAAGACTCGCGAGTTGGGGATTTTATTCGCGGAAAAAGCAAATTGGCCGCGCGATGGCTGATGCGATTTCGCGGCGCTTTCCCGAAGCCACTGGAAGTTACGTCGCGAAGAATCTCGGTTAATCCGGGCGCATGCCGGTGAATTTTAATGTAACGTCTACGATATCGACAGGTGTCGACGTTGGCGGAGCAGCGAGATTTTTCGATGACGCCCAGCGTCCGCGCAGATTTATTATCATAGTCCTCGATCCGTCTCTGTTTCCTTCACCCATTTCGCGAGTCGAAATTTTTACGCCACCCTCTCTCTCTCTTACCACGACCATTGCAGTTCTTAAACGTCACTAGACTCATCGCGTTATCTTTCTCCGCGATATCTTACGTCGAAGCGTACGAGGAAAACTTAGGAATTCCATTCTCCAACCCCCGTTCCAGCCGGTTTGCTTGGCTCGCTGGAAATCCATCGTGGCCGACGAAGACGAAGCTGGTTCGTCGTTGGAGACGTCAAAAAGGAACGGGGCGAAGAGGGTGAGAAAAAAGTGGATTAGCCAAGTCATCGATTTCCGCAACGTCCGCTCCTATCTCGCGTCCGGTTTTTGCGATCCATTAAAACCACGCTCGAACTTCCTTATCGCTAATTTAATCAACGATAAGGGAAACTCGGTCCGTAATTCCGGTGGCAAACATTTTTATCAGCCCGACACCGATTCGCTTTTTCGCCCGGGTCCTCTTCCTTTTTCCCAACGAAAACTTACAAGCCCGCGCCGCGGCCCGGCTCCTATTTTTTCCTTATTCCGCCGCGAATCTCGCATCGATAACGTTTCAACCCCCGCCCCGGAAATGCACGGAATTCCGTTCCGCGCGAGAATCGATGGCCAGCTGCACCGAATTAATCCTCCAGCGGAATAATCCGCGTCCGAACCGGACGATCCTTGGTGTTTTTTAACGGAACATTTGGATAAGCATCGCGGGGTACGAGGGTGCGCGCTGGTCATATCGGAAGATGGCAGAGAAACGAGGCGAGAGGCCTTTTCCCTTCCGGCACGTCGAAAGAGATCGCGCGTCGAGCTTCATAGCGGCGATCGTATCGAGACATAAGCCGGCCTGATTTACGATCCACGTACCCGGCCAATCTACGTCGTGCACCCCTGCTCTCCATCCCCTGCGATTTATATTAGCAGCGAGGCACGCGTCGTGTCGCACGCATGCATCGATCGCAACACGCGAGGCTTCCGAAAATCGGACGTGACGCTAATGGAGAGCTAGCCGATGGGGTGACTTCTTCGACCGCGTGAAAATGGCCGCCGAGCCGTCAGCTTTAAGAGACGAGACGGGGCCAGTTATAACGTTATAAGTCGACGGGCGGGAGAAACGAGGTCGAAGGGAATAAGAAGGTTATCGAGTTATTGGTTAGATATCGGATAGATAGAGAGACAGGGTGTAGGCGAGAGCGAGAAACGGGGCTGCGGGGTGGATCTCTGGAAAGTGCTCCGGCACTTGTGGCACGTGCAATTTGCGACGTCTAAAGTTACTCCTAACGTGCCGTTGTTTTAATGGCCGCAGACGCTATCGGCA